TCCATTTTATCCTTCTGTTAGCTATAAAATTGCACGATTCTCCAGAAATTCAATTTTCAAGTGGTTTCTGACCTATTAATAAAATTCACCTCGATTCTAAAAGATTGCGTTTCTGTCTTGAATTCTTAGGGATTTTAGTATATTGCGTCAGTGTGGTTTAAGATATATTGGCCAAACAAAAAGAGCGTTGAAAGGTTCGTATCAAGACATGAATCCCATGTCAGAAAAGGTGAAATTAACAAGTCTTCAATAGCGTATCATAGTGGACTTTTAACCATACTTTGATTTTGGATCTGCAAAAATTATCCAAAAGGCTTCTTCCATAGTGAATTGGATTTCTTGAGGCTTTTCACTTCACAAAGACTTAGCAGGTTGTTAAGATTTGAATCCATCCAATCCTCCTAATGCTTTAAATTCTACTATCTTAATTCAGTTATTTTTGCCGATAGATGGCGTTACCTCCTCGCGTTTGGTACTATCAGAGGGCATAAAAATCCTTGAAGCTCAGATTTTGAGCGTAAGGTGCATTTGCCCCTCGCTCCCTATTTTAACTTCGCTAATTTTTCATACTCGATCAGATAGCCTGGCTCAGTAAAAGTAGGCGGCCAGTGCAACTCTGATTAAAAATCTAGTTATAACCACGTGCAGTGCTGATAAGGGCCACGTGTTTCTGTGACTCCTTCTCCTTTATTTTCTTCTTTCTATTATTTCTTTCTCCATGAGGAGGGACCTTTAGCTGCCCTCGAAATCGATTGAGTGTTTCATTATACCTACGCTAATACAAGGGTTTTTTACGATTTTGATTGTCACATTGGCGTGTTTCACTTCTAGTCTATTTATCAAGATATAAACATTTTATTTCTCCACTGAAACAACACCATGCATCATGGCCGCTTTGAAGGTAGTTGCTGGGACATTGGTTGCGGCGGTAATTTCCGCGATAATCTATTCTGGCTTGACCGTGTCTGAGACATTATGGATAACACAGCGGGGTTTCCGTCGCTGCCTCCTTTTGACTTCTGCTTGGACTGCTGCCTTTAAAGTATGTGCTCCTCGAGTTTGTGTACGTCTGCTGCTGAGTTGCAGAATACCTCTAGTCCGCCTTTGAAGGTGGGAGTGATCTTTTCAACCGCGACTTGTAGTTTCCCGATTGGAACCTTCTGTTGTAGTTCCTCGCGTAATTCTGACTGTGTTTTGCTACCTTTAGGTTGGATGATTAGACTTGGTTTCTTGTGCTGTCGCAATGCGTGTGCGAAAGATTTAGGCTGTTGCGTTAGTAAGTTAGAGATGATATCAATGGAATCAGCTTGAGATGTATTTGCAGCCGCGTCCGTAGCGGGTATGCTGAATGTGTTTGTAGCACAATCTGTCACTTCTGGTGGTACTGTATAATCAGGGCCCCGTAGTGCCAATATCTTAAATGCCTCTAGGTTTGCTAGGATCCGGTCGCGTAGATCTTGTGGTAGGAAGTATTTGCCGCTTCGAATGGTCTTCGCGATGACTGCACTCTCTTCAAAAAGTGTGGCTACCTTTTTCTTTGCGTGATGGTGTTTGATTTTAATAGCAAGGTGAGATTCAGTCCGCTATCGCGAATTAACCTATTTCCTTTCGGCATTTTGCATTAGGTGTGCCTAGCGTATGTTAAGCACTGAATTGGGATAGTTACTGAATTGTGACAGAACACAAGGTAGTTATAAACAGAGTATGAATACAAGTAGGCTAATTATACTTGGGTAACAAAATTCTGTAAAGCGGTGTATTTGAATAAACTTTCTGACTATATTGCCATAAGTACAGTTATGCTATAGAATACAAAAATACAATAGTCAATCGATGCACTATCTGAATAGTGGAAAACAGGAATGAAAATAATAACAATAACAGTTATCGAATATGTATGATGGTGATTATTTATGAAAAATCTCTAAGTCCCTTATTTGGTGTGGGCTAGAGGATAAGACTGGACTGAAGGGGTGAAAATGAGAAAGGCTTACAAAACGGCGGCAGTTGAAAGTGAGGAAAAAGGGAGGATGAATAAAGGTTGTTCGGAGGTTCTAGGATTGAAAGAAATTGAGTAATTAGAGGAGGGAACTGTGTTAGAGGGGGTGAAAAGAAAGGGGGTGGCAGAGGTTAGACAATAGTGTCGGTCCGAAGTGAATTAAGAAAAGAGTACAAAGAAGTTAATCGGAGACTTTAGGACGAAAGTGGGGCGAGAGGTGAGAGAAATAAAGTAAGATTAAAGGGGAGCGGAAAAGAAGGGGGCGGCAGAGGTTAGTGAAAAGTGTCAAAAGGTAGGGAATTAAGAGTGGAAGCTAGGAAAACAGGTTAGAACATTGTAAGTTAATTAGGAGCTGAGAAATCAGAAAAATAAAAAGGTATAAAACTCAATTAAAAGGGGGAAAGAAGGGTTGGAGGGCTTGTGAGGTGGTTAACTGTATGATGGGTGTCTACTGAAAGAGAATTGGGAGGAAAGTCAGACAAAAGTATTTGTAGAGTGTTACGAGGGTTAGGAAGAGAGTAATAAGAGAAATAAAGCTTAATTAAATGAAATTAAAGTGAATTAAAACGTTAATAACTGCAGAACTATGTTAGATAGGGTGGTGATAATTGCAAGATAATCAATGGGATCTAGAGAGGTAGTATATGAGATTTGGAGTCTCTAGGTTGAGAATTAAAAATTGGGGGGCTTAGTGTATAATTAAAAAGTGATTCTGAACCTAACGTGCTGATCGATAAAAATTTTCCTTAAAAATGGGGTGCGGGACTTAGAAAAATTTTCTAGTAGATACAGGAGTTATACAGAATAGCCATTTCAAATGCAAATAAAAACAAAAATATACAGTAAAACATCAATGCAGGGTACTGTTACAGAGAAATAACATATATTTGGTAGACAGTAATTGAAATTAGAAAACAGAATAACAAAGAGCCTGTTACCGTGGGCTGTTGAACTGCGTATTAGATCGACCTTTCTCAAGGACGAGTTGTTGTTGCGTGCAAAATGGCTGACACAAAATGTCAGAGCACAAAAGTCAGAATTACACAAAATTCAAATTATAAAATTACGATGGTACAACCAGTTCCACTAATTAAAACATAAAAGTACGCAGTTCATCAGATAGAACAAAAATTGCCTACCTTGGCTGTGAAGAATGGGGACCATTAGGATGAGGTAATCCACTGATATGAATTTTATAAAAAAAAGCTACTATTTTTGGACTTAGAAAATATCCAATTCACTGCACCCACACTTGCATAACACAACACAATGTTGACACACAAAGAGGACGCTGAAGAATTCAACACAATGCACAAGTCACAGAAACTCTGATTTCAGACAAATCACTGCATGCACAAACACCAAACTTATATCAAAATGCTCCTTACAGGTTCGCGCACACTTTAAAAACAAGATTTAAAATACTGAGGCATTAATTTCACTAATTAGCGCTGGTAATCACGGAGCTCCAAACAAGACGTCTTTCCTTTCGACGACCAGTGCCGTTCTTTCTTTGCTATAGATGTCTTATAACATGAGCAAAGAAATCTGCCAAAATCTGCTTTTGTCAAATTTCTTTGCTCCTGAAGGACCTGTACCTGTTTGCCCTCAAAATCAATAGAGTCTTGACTAACATCTTCCCCAAACACAAGGTTCTTGCTTTGCCTAAGTTTATGCTTTCCTTGGCCAGGCGTGTTTCTATATTGAACAGAGTATTCCTTACCATATAAAGTTCTTAGCAACTTAGTTTGTCTAGAGCCATCTGGAATTCTATATTCAACGGCTAAAGGAACATATGAATGTTTTTCATGCAGTTTCTTTGAGTATTTTAATGATTTTCTAATATCTACCCAGTAAATGATGCCGAAATATTGTTAGTTTTCTAGTTAGTGTTTGGGGCTAATACCAACTTACTTAGGGTAAATATTAGGTGGCCCCCTTATTTCCACATAACATAACATGATCTTCAGGAGAAACGGACTAATTGTTTTTTTTTTTTTGTATTGCTATAGTAGTTTTGAACTAATTTTTTTTTCAGAAAATTATTTATCATTTCTTGACACGCAATTTAGAATTTTAAAGATATTTAAGGATAATATACTCTATGTTGTTTATTTTATTGAGCACTGGATAATGGCGATGAAGTTTGATGGGATTCGTTCAAGAAACTGGAATCATTTCAGATAGTGGCAATATGACTAATGACTAATAAGGTTCGTCTGGCATTTGTTTTCAAGACCAGTCTGAAGTTTGCAATTTTAAACGTTAATATTGTAAATGAGTGCCTAGTTTTCCAAGAAGAACTTCTCTGTACTTATCTTGCTGTGAAGTGCATCAAAGAAATGGGACTTCAACCTCAAGGTTGAAGGTACAGGACTTTAAAAATTGTCCAACAACAGCATTCATAATGCATTAGTAGGAGGAAGGCATTAGAAAAGAAATGAAGTGTTCCTTAGGAAAAAAAAAACCTGATGTTATTGACCCGCTGAAACACCTGCATTTGAACACTGTGAGGATTTTAATAAGTGCAGATACAAAGTGAGTATGCCTAAAACACGAAACACGGAGCGAAAAAGGGCATCAAAGCCAGGACAGCAAAGGGCAGTCCATAAGACATAAAAGCAAAGATAGAGGAGGTCTGTCAAAAGGCAAGACAGTTGAGAAAAAGACTCGTCATCAGATGCAGCTCCACAAACAGAGCAGGATATCACAGAATTAGAAACAGAGACGCAGGTAGAAGGAGGGTCTACGTTCGACGAATATCATTTTAGCGTCCAAGAAAGTTTAGGTTACTTGACGGAGGTAGACGGAATCTTAAATTCCGCAGACATACACAAAAAGGTAACAAAAAAGATAAACGAACACTTTGTTAAAGTTCTTAATATAATTACCAAAAAGAACATGCAGATAGCAAACTTAGAAGGACAGTTAGGGAATACAAAATGGATAGAAGACTATATAACTGGCGTTACAAGCATAGCAAAGCCCCACATATGCCAGCATGGCACAAAGAGGTAGATCGAGATCCAGATCACAGACGAGAGCACAAAACACCCAAGAATACGTCACGATAGTTTATCCCAAATCTGACATGACATCAGAAGAGGTACGTGAAAAAGTAGTTAGTAACATAGACAAAGCACGCCTTAAAGTCGGAGTCAAAGCAGTTAGAAAAGTAAGAAAAGGAGGGGTTCTGATAAAAGTAGACAAGAAAGAGGAACTAGACATTCTGTAAGATGCGATAAAAGAAAACTCTAAGTTAAAAGAGATTGTAGAGACTAAAAGACCAATTAAAGTCAATCCTAGGATAGTAATATACAACGTAGACAAAGACCTTGATAAGGACTTAATAAAAGAGAAAATCTTAACTCAAAATCCAGGGATAGAAAACGCTGAGATAGCAATACTTTTCCATATGAAAGGCAGATTCGGTAATAACTGGGTAGCCTCTATAGACCCGACCAGCTTCAAAGCAATAATGGAAGACTAAGAAAATTAATATACAGTGGACCAGGAATAGTGTCAGGGAATTCATTCAAGTTTCTCAATGCACAAAATGCTTAGGCTATAACCATTCAGCAAAAAAACTGTACAGCACATCCTCGGTGCACAAGATGCGGATCAGAAGAGCACTTCAAAAATGAGTGTAACAGACAAACTCCTAGATGCATTAACTGCCACAATGTTAATACAAAATTCGAAACAAGACTGGAAACAAACCACATTAGTAGAAGTAAACATTGCGCATATTTCATTAAGGAATTACAAAGGTATAAGGAAAGAATAAATTATGAGTAATTTCACAGCAATTCAGATAAATCTTCAGCACTCAAGGGGTGCGACTACATACTTAAGAGACTACTTAGAAACAAATAGTTATATAAAAATAGCATGCATTCAAGAGCCCTACACAAAAAAAAGACAACCAAATACGACCAAACAAAAGACGACCAAATACGTGGTTGTCCACTACACTATAGGAAGTATTACGCAAAAAAATAGGGCAAAAGCAGCAATTATCTTAACAGATAGCAGAATCCCAGCATTAGAACTGTACAGCAACGAGTCAATATGTGTAATTAGGATAGAGGGGAGTACCCCATTCATTATGATATCGGTCTATTGTCCGCCTTCACAAGACATAGATCCAATTCTCAGCACATTAGAAAGTCAAATAGCGAATCAAAAAGACATCCCCATCATCATCAGCGGGGACTTTAATTCTAAACATTCCAATATGGAGCCCAAATCACCCAGATCCAAGAGGACTCAAGGGGTATGTGATTTCTTAGCTACCACGGACATGAGTATCTTAAACGATCCGGAAAGCCCCCCCCCAACATTCTCAGGAGCCAGAGGGTCTTCCTGGATCGACCTGACACTTCTCAAAAGACATAATCAATTAGCAATCATAAATTGGAAAGTTATAGAAGAAGCAAACCTAAGTGATCATAATTTTATAACCTACGAAATAACAAATATAGAAGAAGAGCATAACTTAAATCTTAAAATGAAACTCTCCCAGGTGGACTGGCTAGAATTCAGACACACGATAAAAAGTAAATTTCAAAATAACAGCGACAGCAGATTAAGAAATATAAAAGACATAGACAAACAAATAGAAGACACCACCGTCCTCATTCAGGAGACATACGACGCAACAAAGAAATCGTAAATAGGCCAAATCCGACACCACAGAAGCAATCCATGGTGGACAAAAGAATTAAAGATCCAAAGAAAGAAGCGTACGAGCCCTAAGACGCCATTACCACCGGGCTCCTGATTCAATAAGGAAAGATTTCCGTCTTAAATATAAGATCGAACAAGCTAAATATGAGAAAATAATTTCCAAAGCTAAAAGAGCTTCATGGGACGCATTTTGGCAAAGCCTACAGATCACATCCCCCTTGGCACTTATTATGATACTGCCAAGGGCAAAAGATTAGGTCCGCTCCAACTAAGTGCCATCCAAAAGGGTGACGGCACCCTAACTTCCACCATCGAAGATACATTAACAGAAATTCTAAGTTTCCACTTTCCCGACGACCCAAGCGTCAATGACACGGATGAGCACAGACACTAATAAGACAGAAAGCAACGAGTCCCATAGACACTCCACATGATGTAGACTCTACGAACATAGAGATAAGAAAAGGGCAACAGAAAGCACAAAGAGAGACAAAGCGCCAGGATTGGACAGGCTTAACATAGACTTCGTAGATGAATTGCGACTAGCCAATCAGGATCTTTTAACCCAAGTATTCAACGCCTGCCTTCATACAGGATATTTTCCACGTGTATTGGTAAAATGCAGAGTTAGTTCTCTTCAAAAAAGAAGGAAAGAACCCCAAAGACCCGAGCGCCTATAGGCCGATCTGCCTCCTCTCGTCCTGGGGCAAAGTTCTCGATAAGCTTCTGACACAGCGTCTAGTACATCACTTAGACTCAAATAACCTACTGCACAAAGCACAATACGGATTTAGAAAAGGTCAAAACACGATAGATACCCTTGAGAACCTACAAAAGATCATCAACGAGAACAAAACAAATGGGCTACACACATGCGTCATTGCTCTCGACGTCACCTCGGCCTTTAACAGGCTCTGGTGGCCAGGTCTAAAGGAACAATTAATAAGACTCAGATGCCCCAAGAATATCTACAGGCTACTAAGCAGCTATCTTCACGATAGAGTTATAACTTACCAAAGAGACGGTGTTCACATCACACACACTTACCAAATAGGAGCGCCACAGGGGTCTAACATCGGCCCGACCCTGTGGAATATCATGGCTAATACGGCTTTAGAATTAGATTTGGAAGACACAGCAAGTCTTCAAGCTTATGCTGACGACTTCATCTTAGTAATTAACGGGGGTAACAGACTTATTATAGAACGGAAAGCAGAGAAAGCTCTCTCCATCATTTCTGCGTGGAGCTCAAAGTATAAACTAGATTTTAGCATAAATAAAACTAAGATGATAATCTTTCCAAAGGGCAACAAGATAATTAACAGTCCCCCCAGGATAAAATGGCACGGCCAAACATTAAAGAACCAGGGCACTCTCAGATACCTCGGCTTCCTATTGGATAGCAAACTAACGTGGGTTCCCCACCTATCAGATATAAGGAACAAGACTTGCAAGATAATAAATACTTTAAACCGAATAATAGAGTCCAAATGGAACTTAAAAGGTAGACTAATGAAAGACCTGTACCTAAGGGGAGTCGAAAGAATGATTCTCTACGGCTGCCCCGTATGGATGCAGGGCACAGTAAGGTAAAGACAAAAACTACAACAAATCCAGAGGATCACGCTGTTAAAGATTACAAAAGCTTTTACTACCACCTCCACTGCCGCCCTCCAGATCCTAGCCGGCACACTCCCATTAGATCTCAAAGTGGAATTCGAGCGAGTCACATACAGACTTCTGCACTTCAAAGAATCAGTGACATTAGAGGGCTCCATTCTCCTCGAAGAAGCACTTTTGGAACCATGCTTCAGTACAACATCCCTACATCCAGCCTCCCTCAAAGACTTCCGATGGGGCAAACATCCCCCGTCCGATCAGGGTTTAGAGATCTTTACCGACGGTTCTAAAGACGACACGAGAGTAGGCGCAGTTTTCCACAATAGTCAAGAATTTTTTCAAGATCACTTCAGAGTCAGCGATCATGCCACAGTTTTTCAAGCGGAATCCATAGCACTTAGGAAAGCAGCCCTCTGGGCAAGCAGTTCAGATTTTAACAAGATCTCTATCTACACAGACAGTATGAGCGTCCTACAGAGTATGAATAAGACAGGCAAGATTCCAGCGCATATTCAATCCCTAAAAGAGCTTGTCTCTACTCTGAGTAATACAAAGCAAGTCACCCTTCACTGGGTCAGAGGTCATCAAGGGACAAGAGGCAAAGAACGGGCAGACATTCTCGCAAAGGCCGCCACATCACGCCAAGACTTAGATATCTCCCTTCCGATCTCCACGAGAGCAGCCAAGCATCACATCCAAGAGGCTTTCATGTCACAATGGCAAGAAAGATGGGAACAAGGGGACACCGGAAGATATACCTTCGCAATCTTCCCGATCGTCAGGCTGTCAAGAGTTACTCGAACCACTACACGGTTCAGGCCCTTTCCAATCATGGAATGTTCCCCCAATATTTAGAGAGGTTTCTACATTTACACGTCAAGTGCAGTTGTGGATCACCCGCCAGCACAGCAGATGCCTTCCATTACATCACTTCATGCCCACCAAGTCGCTTAGATCTCCAGCCAACACCGCCCTACTCCAAAGTAAAGGTCTCAGAGGTTACCTAACGGATTTCTACGGTCTCCAGGAAGTAAGCAGATTGTCAGCTTCGTCAATGACAACAAGACCATCATACAAGTCATACCAGGTTAAAACCTGACGATATGTAAAAGGCAGCATGCATTATATAAATATGTAAATAAAACACTTTTTTCATATATATATTCAAATTCCTATTCAAACTTGTTTTCACTAATATAACTATTCAATGTAAGTTGGAAAAACCAACATCAAATTGTATTTATAAATGTAATTTGCTTTGTAATTAATTAATAACGAATGACCTGTAGTGCCCAATGAGAGGCGAGGCAGGCTAAGAATAAATATTATTATTATTATAACATAACATAACATTTCTACCCAGTATTTGAAACATCAGTTTTATTAAGTCAATCATGACTATTGATCCGTTTAAAACCACCATACGGATACTGACTCATAGCACATTTATATAAAATTATTTGCATCTATGATACATCGACTACATGGTTTGCTGTTATCGTAATATTTCATGTACACTGATGTCCATTAAAATTGCAACACCATGAAGGAAAGCGAATACGAGAAAGATATTTATTCTATAGAAAACAATATAGCATGAAGACAAAATGATTAAGTTTGTAAGCAGTTCTGGGGCTTACAGGGGTGCGAAATCAATAGAAACAGCTACCACCCCTGGTAGCGAAAACGGTCCATACCCAGTTAGACATGCAGTTGGACTGGGCTTCGATGACAGAAACGGACAACTCATTCCATGCTGCTTCAAGTCTATGCCACACTTTCATCATTAGCTGGAGCTTCATCCTTATGAGCTGGAGCATCATTAGCTGGAGCATCATTAGCTAGTATTAGCTGGAGAGAGATGGCGAGCCAGTCTCTCAGCAACCCATGACCAGATGTTTTCAATGGGTGACAGATCTGGAGACCGTGCAGACCAAGCCAACAATCGAAAAACCTGTGTATCGAGTAAGGTCAGAACATGACGTGCAACATGTGGTCTTGGGTTATCTTGTTAAAAGATGGCGTTTGGCAGCCCTCGAAGATAGGACACAACCACTGGACGTAACATTTCAGAAATGTACCGATCTGTGTTCAAATTACCTTCGATCCGAACTAGAGATGTGCGTGTCGCATACGCAATGGCTGCCCAAAACATCATACTAGTTGCAGGGTCCCTATGCCGATATCGAATGCAAGCAGGCGACGTGCAGTCTCCTCGGAGCCTGCAGATACGTATACGGCCATCAGAATACTGCAAGCAAAACCGGGACTCGTCTGAAAAGACAACATTGTGCCATTCCTGTATCTAACTTTGCGTTTTGCGCACCAGTATCGCCGTCTCTCTCTACGCTGCATTGTCAAGGGTCGCCTCACGCTGCTGCAAGCATCAATGAACCGTACGAGCGGATGCTGGGCGTGCTGCAAACATGGCTATTTCCTGACTGATCGTGCGTTATGTGGTAGTATGGTTTTGCAGGGTTGACCTCACAATATGTCTGTTCTCTTGGGCATTAGTCAGGGGATGGCGTTGAGATCCTGCATGCCGTTCAGTATGATCTTCAGCAATTCACTGATCCATTATTCGCATGACAGTTCTTGGATGTCGACCAGTGCGACGGTGATATCACGGAACGATAATCCACGCTCTGGATAGGCAATGATCTTGCCTCTATCGAATTTCGACACTTGCTGGTAAGCATTTCTTCTTCTTATTTCGAGGTATAACAGGATATTCTGAGCAAACTCCGACCTTATAAAGCGCTTTACGAATAAGAAAGCCACTATACAACTTTTCTTTTATGCAGCGGTTCAGATGTCGTTTCTCTCTCCTGCGTCGTCTAAATGCGCTGAAATACTAATCATTTGCATACAATAACCTCTTCTTCCTTTCATGTGGTTTTGACGTTCGTCAGATCATTCCTTCCTGGTGTTGCACTTTTAATGCCTGCAGTATGTTTTTTATTTACTTTTCCATATCTATGACAGCATTGAGCTATACCATAAGCCCTCTATAATTCTAATTCAATGTTTGTGGTTTTTAGCGTTGCTTCTCAACCTAATCTTGCCACTGTAAAGTACCATGCGGGATCTTCATCATATGTTTTTAAGCATATATCTCAAAAGATTTCAAAGATATCTCTTGTTAATACATACAGTTTTACATATAAACCTATATATTCACTCAAATTGTTAATCACAGACACTTCCCATATTTTTTCTGTCAGCTTATATTCTTCAAGGGAACATTTACTTTCATTTAATATATTATCGGACTTATCTTGAGTCAGTAATTTCATTTCTTTGTATTTTTCTTCGGAATCCGTTGTTTCATAACAATAAATACCTTTTTGTGTTGTAGGGATCCTCACTTTATCTATTAACTAAGTGTTAAGTAACCTAGTGAACTACTAAGCCACTAATCGCGCAAGTCCAAAAATAGAAACGTAAAATTCAAGGAGGGTTAATTACCCTTTATTGCTCAAAATAAAGTTGACAGATGGTCCCTTTCTCAGGATGTACAAAAAAAACTTCCACTTAGGCTTAAACTCAAATATATAAGAAATAAGAACTTAACTAATGAATAACTAAAGAGATTTAGCCCAAGGTAATACAATTTCTGAACTAGTTGGCCTCTAATATTAAATTAGATAGTGAAGCTATCAAGGGTACGTAATACGGTCGTGCATAGTAACAGCTTAGAGAGACGTAGCCAAAAAGCGAAAGCGAGCTATTCAGGAATCCTAATTCTCTCTATCGAAGTCAGTGAACTTAAGTACTCTCTACTACTCATTTGCGTTTAACGTGATTCTAAAACTCATTCTGGTAAGGAATTGTAAGCTGAAGTTAGAAGAGACAGGAAAGGATCTTTAACTTAAAAATAACTGTTATAAAATTAGGATATACCTAGTAATAGGACCAGACTTTTCACCAGGATAAAATTTCAAACTTTCCTTAAACATTTCCAATCTAAGATTTTACAATAAATTATCCGTACTAGATCGCATAAATTTAAATGAATCTATAAACCTCAATTTCATTCTTCCATTCTTTTATTAAAAGATATGTATTTTTCTTTAGTATTTGGAATCAATTAAAAATTGGATGAAATATTAATGTGTATTATACCCTGTTAAATTATGAAATATTAAGGGAATGAAATTAGGAATCTGATAATTTTAATTGCAAAAGTTACGCGCTGGCTCTGTATATTTTCCAGTTAAGTGGCAATGCTCTGTAACATTTCTTTTGTCATCTGAAGCATCACGTAACATTTCCTTTTTATATATATATGGCGTGTGTGTGTGTGTGATTATGGCAAAGCCTCGAGGGCTATCTGCCTAAGGGGAGGGATGCCTTCGTGGAGGACTTTCTAAGGGAAACTGGCTCGTATACACGTTACACATGGGGAAAACCACGAAAACGCCCATGCAGCCAGCCCGTTCGCGGGATTCGAACCTCGGACCGAACTACCAGTGTTCAGCGACGTTACCACTCGGCCGCTGGTGGGCTTTATATATATGGCAAAAATATGTACTTTTGTAATGCTCTTCATTATAGTCTACTGTGTTGCTAATGTCTTTATATTTTTTCGTTTTTTTCATCCCTAAGTTTCTCAGTTTCTGGACCGTCATTTGCTAACTAAAAATTTATGAACTTTTTCAGCTTCTTTGTAAATAACAGATGGCTAACAAAAATCATATGCATAATACTTAACAGTAGGCTTCAATACTTCATTTATTATTTCATCGTGTAGAAGTTCGTTGGATCTGTTTGAAAAGTATGTATCTTTTCCAAAAGGAATTATGAAAAGGCATAATTGATAAATGTACTCTAGATGATTTTTAATAATTTTTAAATTTTATATATTTATCTTTTGTAGGCATTTCTGCTTCCACAGGATTATTACATGCAAAGTCAATTTAATGTGTTTTTAAGTGTTCTTTTGAATAAAAATATCTTCAGCACATAGCAGTTCTAAGTATTTAATTTTTTCACGTGTCCATCCTGAAGCTTTTGCTATAAAATCATCTGATTCATTATTAGTTTATCACTGGCATAATTATAAAAGGCATCAAAATCGGTTGTGCTTAAAATTATTTTATTAGGTGTTGTAAACGAATGATGTTTAATTTTGTCTTCTTTCCTATACATAAAAAAAGAAAAATTGCACATTTAGTTTTACTTACTTCTCTTTCCCAATATTTGAAAATTTTTTTAATCATAATTTTTCTTTGACTCCCTAAATAATCAAAAGGAATCATAATGTTTTTATTTTTAACTCTACATGTTTCTAATCTTGGTTTATAAGCGGTTTCTAATAGCTCAATTTCTTCATCATTAAGCTCGCTGTCTCAATAAATCAAGCTTCGCTGATGTTAATCAAATCAGCTTTTTTAAGTGAATAATTATAGACAACATGTTCTCTACTTCAATATTCACAGAGTTGTATAAGAGTTTTTAATTTAATATTTTTTAAAAAAGGAAACTGTTTTTCTTTTTTAATTATATGATTAATCAATTCGGCTTTTAAGTTTTGAATAATTACGAATATTATGCAGTTTTTTACTGCCTCTAATTCAAGACCCTTCATTTATACACGATTACTTTTATGAAAGTTAATCCTTTAGATAGCAATTACTTCTAAAATGTCTTTATGTGCATACGTATATTTTTTTACAGTAATCAAAATCAAATTTTGTATATTTAATAACAGATCTCAATTTTTCAAATAGAACAATCAAATTTATCTTTCAGATAATAGTTATCTATACTTTTAATAATTTCACAAATTTTACCAATTCTATCCTTTTATGGGCCCACCAGCGGCCGAGTGGTAAAGTCGCTGAACACTGGTAGTTCGGTCCGAGGTTCGAATCCCGCGAACGGGCTGGCTGCATGGGCGTTTTCGTGGTTTTCCCCATGTGTAACGTGCATACGAGCCAGTTTCCCTTAGAAAGTCCTCCACGAAGGCATCCCTTCTCTTAGGCAGATAGCCCTCGAGGCTTTGCCATACTCACACACACTATCCTTTTATATCCACTTGTTTTTATATAGTTATTTCAAATCATTTAATATTCATATTTAGATTTTATATTCATGTCCATTGTAATGTAGTAAATAACCCATATCGTTTTCATAAAATATAAATAATTAAAAGATTTTTAATAAAAAATTGAAATTTGAAGAACTCATAATTTTATGCATTTCTGATGATAAAATCTAATTGTATTCTTTTCTTAATTTAACAAAATAATAACTTATTTCTTACTTAAAAAACTCTTCCACATCTTGGAAAATAAAATAAAAACTGTCCTCATCATCGAATTTAACCTTTTAAATTTAATTTGCTTACATTTTTTCTGCGCGCATTTTAATTAAGAATTAATTTCATTAAAATTTTTAATTTCATTAAAAAAAAATCCTCCTTTTTGTTGTTGACTCCATTCGTTCTTAAGTGCTCCACTTGCGTTTTTAGAACTTTTGGTGTCTCTTCTTCTTTTTCTCAGCACGCTTCCAGTTTTCTGAGCCCACTTCCATTGACATTTTTTTTGGGGGGGGGGACGAGTGTAAAATGAGATCTATCAGTTCAACGACAGCATTCACTTAAAAGAGCACTACACACAAAATTAAAAGAAAAATTTGAAATTTATGATGTAAAACATTTTAAAATAATATTTATAATAATTAAATTTATACTTAAGAGCATTAAGAATTACTTTAATTAACTTTAACAAAATATTTTAAAATATTATTAATAAGAAATCAAATTTATATAAAAACTATTATTAAAAAGAATTATTTAAAAAAAATATTTGAAAAGTCAATGGGTTCAGAACTTTGAAGAGGATTTT